CAGGGCTTCAGTGTAGAGAGGAAACTCCGCCAGCCTGGTATTACTGACTGAGACCTGTTCACCCCTCTCCTCTTCACTACGGATGAGACACCTTGGAGAAAAGCAATCAGACAAAGGGCATAGGAAGGGATTTGTGTGTCTGTTTCTCTCACACTCATTTTATCTCTCTCGCCCATAAAAACAATTCACAGAATAACAAACACATCAAGACTCGAACATTAGTACACACAGGTCCCTTCCTTTGTCACAGGATCCCTTGCAAAAAAAATACTCATCTCATTGTCTTCATTGTATGTGTGATGGTTTTGTGTGGTTGTAATTTGAGCAAAACCCCCCTCGTGTTGTGTGAGTGTGTGGTATGCATCATATGTTTGGAAAAAGTTCACTTGTAAGGTTGTTATTGTTATGCAGAGGATATGAGGAGAAATCTGGGGTTTGTAGTTCTCACATCTTTTAGATTGAGATGTGGGGACTGTTTGACCCACTTTTCATTTCTGCTGAAATTGAAATGCCAGGAATTCTGCACCTGCTGCTGTGAGTGAATTATTGTTTTAGAGTAGCTTTGCCTGTCTGTATTTTGATTTCCGTTATATATACTTTATTCTTCCTGTATCACTTGAATACGTCTCCCCATGTTGTTTCTCACCCAGGTGATATTGAGATATTGTTGGTCTCTTTCTGGTGAGAAATAAAATGACCTTAAAGTTCTTTTCACTCACGTTTTCCACACCTAATTCCTTTGAGTAGCTTTTAACATGGATCTGAAAACGAAATAAATTTTCTCTCCGCTCAGAACTCACTTGTGTATGGTTTTTGATTGTGTAAATGACAATTTTTGAGATTTATATTGTTTTGTTTTTTAAGGAGCCTTTTTTAATTCCTGTCCTGATTTCACTAGCTCCGTCTGGGCATGTGCAGAATTCCTAATGGCATCTTGTAGCCTGTGGTCTTTTTAAAAAAAAATTCTTCTTTTTTTAAAGATCTTTTTCTTTGCACATACTTTTTTTCATTTTATTTCTTTTTTTTATTTCTTGAGTTTAACTTAAACTCAATATCTGCTAATGAATAAATAAAGAAAAAGGTGCCTAAAAACAAACAAAACAAAAAATAAAACAAAAAAAATTGGTGTCTCCTCTATCCCCAAACAGCCACCAAAATATAAGAGCAATTGTAGGGTGGCTTTTTTTTTTTTTTTTTTTTAATTCGAGAATACTGGTGTGCATCCCCCAAACCTGTGGGTTGAGAAATACTGTATGTACTGTGTGCTTTTACTTGGGTGGACCTTTTGAAAACCTAAATAAATCAAGCAAAGTGTGCAGAACTTGAGAAAAGGGGAGAACTGTAATAGGTAAAATTTAAAAACATGCAGAGAAAGGATGTTGATAGAGGCTATTTACAGTGCTTCTTATGACAAATGGAGCTATTACTGTCATGAATATTATCTGGAGCACTCTGGGTTTGTGTTGAACCTTAGGGTTCTCCTATATACTTTTGTTAATGGGCTTGAATGAAACAATTGAAATAAACATTTTATGAGAATCAAAAGGGTATTGTTTAATATTTTTTTCTAGTAAAGCACTATACAGAACCTTAGACATAAATCATGCCTTTGCAAACTTTTGTGGCATTAAAAAAAGAAAGAGATATCCCTGAACAGAGAAGGGGTTTCGTGTGATTAAACTCTGGTGCTTCCCAGATGTATGGTGATTTCAGAGCGATGCACTATCTTTGGTTTTGTCACTGATGTTGGATTCTGGCTTTGAGACCATCGTGTCCACCATTCCCTCAGGTCTGCTGGCCCGCGTAGAGGAGGATGTGAAATCTGGTTTCCTGAAACAAACACATACGGGAGTTTGGACTCCAGCGTTGTTACCACCCTTTTTGTTCCACCGTCCCCATGCGATCTGTCTGCTGAAATCAGTATTTGTTTGACGCTTGTTTGTTTTGGCGTGTCTACTGGGCTATTCTGTTCAGTGATGTTTTCTTGTCCTGTTTTCTGCTGGGAGTTTCTCAGGTCCATTGCTTGCAGTTTCTGTTTGTACTCTTCTAGTTTAGCTTTGCACTCGGAAGCAGCTTCTTTTGTCTGAAAGAACTGCCTCTGAAGGTCTCTTTCAAAGACTTCCTCCGCCTTGAGCTCATTGAGCCAGAACTTGAGCTGTTCCTCTTCTTCCGACAGGGACTCTGAAAATGTCCTGGTGGCCTGCTGCTGCTCAAGCTCAATGATCAGCTGGTCCGTTGACTCGATTTTGAGCTTTATTTCTTGCAGACAAGACTGTTGTTGGACAACTAGTCTCCTTAAATGTGAAATCTCGTCACTCTCGGTTTCAACGTGGCTTGTTTTGACCAGAGGAACAACTGGATTGATGGTTATCAGATCCTCCTTTGCCTCTTTCAGTACCTCTTCCTCCCGTCTCTCACATTCAGCACTATTATCAGTGCATCTCCCACGGTTCCCAAGGCAACTAATCAAAGGCTGATGTGGTGCTCTAATTTTGTCTTTTTTGTCCCTCGACAGCGGTGTCCCAGAGGCTGGTAAACCTTTGGTTGGTTTTAGAGACGTGTTATCGGAGTGCCCATTTCCTTTATTGCCTTCCTTGTCTTTCTTCTTATCTCGTCCTGATTGCTGCTTCCCGCCCCTGCCCAAATTTTCCAGCCAACCCCATGCTTCCTCCATTAGTGTCAACGACTTCCGCTTGGGTCTCTTGGGTTCCTCAGGGGGTGGCTCGGATTGGACGCCGAGGTGTGATAGCGGAGGAAGACTCTGGCGGTGTAGGCCGATTGCCCCGCTGCCTCTCCGTGGCCTCCCCGTCCCCTCCGCTCGCCTCAATAGGGCCCAGGGCTGGTTTGTTTCTTCCCCAGGCGATGGGCCGATATGCTTCAAAGTGAGCTCCACCTCCTTAACTTGCTCACCATATTTCTCCAAGGACTCCAGGAGAAGTTCATCCGGAGACACGTTACGTTCAAATTCTTTGAATTTTTCTCTCAGAGTATATCGACCAGTGCGACCTAAGAGTGAGAACAATATTAAAAAGTGATATTTTGGGGATGAATATACATTTACAATAAACTGATTTTTCATTCAGCAGATGCTTTTGTCCAAAGCGACTTTCAAGTGAGGAAAACAACAAGTAATTTCATCCTAAGGAGGCAATAACACAAGAAGTGTTAGCAATACAAAAGTTTACAACATTGTCCAGAATAGTACAAGCTAGAACAGGGAGGGTTATTATAAATAGTGAAAGCACAGAAGTAGTTTTTATTATTTTTTATTTTAAACTCCGCAGGATGCCGTTAAATGCCTGTGGAAGAGATTAGTTTTCAGCTGTTTCTTGAATAATGTCTGGTAATTTGCTGTCCGGAGAGTCATTATCTGATCTGTCATTCTAGACAACTATGTTTTGTGGAACACACACAAAAAAAGATATTTTGATGAATATTTTTGCCAATATAATGGGAGTTTATGGGGTCCAAAAAAATCCATATTTTCCACAGAATAAAATCATACTTTGGGACAACATGAGGTTGAGTAAATGATGATGATGACAGAATTTTCATTTTTGGGTGAACTATCTCTTCAAAGATTTTTAAGAGACCTTTAAACTAATAGTGTTTTCTTCATGTTTGTGTTTTTCATAGTCGTCATGTAGAAGATGCTTTATGGAATGATAAACTCTGAGATGTTGGGCTAGGCATGTACTTACCAAGTGCTTGTGCTAAAGCGATGACCACCTCCTGACATGTTGTTTTCTCAGTGACTCCACAAACAATGCGCTGGACTCCTTCAACAAACACCTTTACCTCCATTCTAAAAGAAAATAAATCAGCTCTTTGTTTTTTCTCTAAACATTTCTGTACTTCTAGAACGTCTCATTCCTCCAATAAAATGACTCTGCCAGTGAGAAAAAAAATGGTTTTACAAGTTCCCTCAACTTCCCTGTATTGAGTTGTACAGATTGCGGAGTTTACAAAATCAGATTACTGTACGATTCATTATGAAGGGTGTGCTGTACCTGTCCTGATGGTCAGAAGATTCCTTCAGTTGACTCGTATAAAATCCTTGTACTTCAATAAGAGGCAGTTTGGTAAATGTTGTCCTACATGGAAAAGTCATGTTGTCATCCTTGACTTAGCTGAACACGTACAAACCCTTCCCTTTAGTAAACACTCAGATCAAGACTGATAACTCAGACTCGGCTGTAGATGTTGGTATGTGTGTTTGTCTGCAGTGCAGTGCATGATATCCCCAGACATTTTTTGGATGCTAATTATTTTGAATCTGAGTAAACATGTTTACATTTGAAATTTACTTCTGCCAAAGCAGGGCTTCAGTTACTAAACAAGTTGTATGAGTTCTTACATGATTTAATCAGATATTGAAGAAAACTAGCACAGACTACACATTTTTTTAATTGAGTAAAGTTCAAATAAATAGACACGTCAAAATTAAAAACAAAAACAAAAAAAATTACAATAACAAAACCCTAAATAATGAAATATTTATATAAAATTACATTTATAAATTTTTTGTGACATCTTTAAATACATATTTTGCCTAGATTTAATTGGTCAGTAATCATGTTAGAAAAAATATTAAATGTAACTGATTTTAAAGGTCTTAATTCATCTGAAAGAATATCAGATATTACAAGAATAGGGTGAGTTGTAACATTAATAGAAAATGTGTACATTTTTAATTTTGTGTTTGAATGGCTTGTGGTAATCAAATTAAGGCCTACGTGTTTAAAAAATATTACATGTACTTTTGACTTCTGTAATTATTTCTTTTAGAAGTGAGTCTGTACACAACCTTAATCTCTAGAAAATATATAAAATACAATGTATTCATTATAAATTAATAGTTTTATATATAAAAAATGTTGTTGTTTTTTTAAAAGCTACACTAAAATGCATGGTGGAAACTGCATACTAGTGTATATGTGTAAAGACTTTTATTTTGAAAAGCTATGAGATAGACAAAAATAAGGTCGATACTTCACACACTTGCGTTCTGCTTGAGCTCTCCGACCTTTTTGACAGATAAACATGAAGATTGTAACATGGAACATAAACGGGATACGAACATTTAAAAATGGTATCAAGAAAATTCTGGATTCATTTGATGCCGATATAATCTGCGTTCAAGAGACTAAAGTTACCCGTAAGTGTTTTAAGTAACGCGGGACTTTGAATTGGGTTCATATAGCACCCTTATTTTTAATAACTTAACAGCTCAGCAATTGCACATTGTTTGCAGGTGACCTGTTGGATGAGAAAACAGCGATTGTTGATGGCTACAATTCATACTTTAGTTTTAGCCGAGGACGAGGTGGATACTCAGGTAAAGCAGCCTACAGTACATTCTGTCAGTAAAATATGCAAAATGACTTTAAATACTTGATTGATTTTAGCATTAGATTAATTCCAATATTTTGTATTTTTAAAATATATTTTGTCTCGGTTTGCAAATTGCAATTGCAAATGACAAGTACTGTACTGAGTATGAGATGAACAACATTTACTCCGTGCCCAGGTGTCGCGACCTACTGTAAAGATACCGCTACTCCATTCCTGGCCGAGGAAGGATTGACAGGTCTGATCGCCAATCAGGGAGAGGCTGTTGGTTGCTATGGTGACCAGTTAGAGTTGTCCAGTGATGAGCTTCTGGCACTAGACAATGAAGGAAGGGCTGTCATCACCCAGCATCACTTCATGTAAGGGTCTTAACTTTAGACTAGTTTTAGAAAAGCTTAACAGGTTTTGAAAGCTTCAGATATTTCTTTTATTTTCAGGGGGAGAGATGGACCACAGAAGCTGACTGTTATCAATGTTTATTGTCCTCGAGCTGACCCGGACAAACCTGAGAGAAAACAGTACAAGCTGCAGTTTTACCAACTCCTCCAGTGCAGAGCTGAAGCCATCTTGAGCTCGGGGAGGTGAGAGAGAGAGCTCAAACCATTACCTGTTCTCACACACACACACAACGTGGCATGTTATTCCCTGATATATTGGTAATAAGTTCTTTCTTTATGTTGCTATAATTCTGTCTTATTGGTCCTCCTTCTCAAATTGTTATCAAGATTCTTCTAAGATATAATGTGTCTTTTTGTTTGAACAATGCATCCCTCTGTCTCTCTTCAGTCATGTGATCGTTTTGGGTGATGTGAACACCTCTCACAGACCCATAGACCACTGCAACCCAGATGATGTGGTAAGTCCGTAAACCATGTTCCTTCATCATGATTTCAGTTGACACAATTTAACCAGGCACAAGAAGTAATAAAAGTCGACACAATAAAAGAAAAAAAGCTTGATGATGCGCCACATTTGCAGCCAGTCATATTTGATTTGTATTAGAGAGTAGAGATGCGTGGATGGGCTATTATTTCATCTGCAACCGCATCACAAAACTCATCATCAGTCCGCCATCCATCCGCACCAACGTTTTTGAACAATTTTCAAAACCGCACCTGCCCGCCATCCGCTGATTGGGCGATACAAGGCGCTGCTGATGACAGCCGCGAGACTAGAAAGCTCTCAGAATATCAGCAGTGAACTCCGTCTCCGATCGGCGCGCAGGGACAAAAATAAATAAATAGCCTAAATTAAACGCACTTCGGCAAACCTGACCTTATCTGATAGGCTACTGTACAATATTTTCATTGTAGCCTAATAGAAAACGCATTTTGGCACATAATTTCAACATCCTGCTATTGTATGGGGCGCCAACAATGTTACGTGACAGTTCTCCATTACGGACGCGAACACTCAGAAAGCGGCACTAAAAGACTTTCAAACTTTCACAGAGGCCTCAAAAAAGCACAAAGCCTTTCTGTAAAGCGAATTTCGTTTTGTATTAATTGTATCTTCATTTTAATCCATGTTTCATTAACCAATTTCCTGGATTTAATAAATAGGCTAAAAAGTAAATAGTCTATCTTGATTGTGTAGGCTATTTTTCATTATAAAATATTAGGCTGTGTATACCGACATGGATCAATTATTAATATTAGATTTCATCTGTCTTTTGTAGACATAGCTGATGGCGCACCAACGAAAAAGCCTATAGTGACTTCGGCGTTTCTTTAATATCGAGGCCAGTGGCGTAGGTTTGATTTTGAAATTGGTGGGGACGGGGACATTCATTTATAAATATATTTTAAGTTTTGATCGAAATTATTGCTAGGGATATATAATTGTCACTGGATATTGGTAGGGACACGTCCCTAGCGTCCCTACTAAATTCTACGCCCCTGATCGAGGCTCTATAGTTTATTATATGATTGTTAGGCCTGTTGATGGTATAAAATGAATTGCACTGTGCCTGAAAAAGACGCGCTCTCCGCTCTCTTCCCGTGCATTCAAAATTAACGGGAGTCTTCAGAACAGGCTCGTCCAGCGTCAACAGCACCGAACTTAGCTCCAATGTCAATCAACGTCTGGGCCACTTGGTGGAATCCTTTACCAGAAACAATATTGAACGGGCGCATATCAAGAGAGCGCACAACTTTTTCCAGACAACACTTTTCTGACCTTCTATTTCCTTTGTTTTTAATTCTCCTTTTTTGAGTTTGTCACATAGCTATTTCGCCGGCGTTGCCATCTCTGATAACTAGCAGTCTCTGCATAGACTCGACTAGCTGATGAAAATTTGACTATTTCAAAGTGTGCTCGTTTTTTTTTTTTTTGGAAGTAGGTATAGTCAGATGACAATATTTAACAATGTATATTTTTCATTTGATTGTTTCAACCGCCCGCCACCCGCCCGAATTTAATTAAAATATTTTTTTTCGTCCCGTCATCCGCCCGATCCGCGGTTTATCCGCGGAGTCCGCGGCTGTAACCGCCAACCGCGCATCTCTATTAGAGAGCAACAGTGCCTTCCTACTTTTTCAGTGGCCTTGGTTCTAGAAGTAATTTTCTCTCTCTCTCTCTCTCTCTCTCTATATATATATATATATATATATATATATATATACATAGCATAGGCACAGTGATTCGTGGGAGTGGGTGGGTGCTAGAGTTCTTTTGGCATGATTTGCTCCCCATAATTCTCTGATTGGTAAAGATTACTTTTTAAAATCTTAGGTAATGACTTCTTTACACGGAAGTCTGCTGTTCAACACAATTATTTAAAAAAGTTTAAATAATGCGGGTGAAGACTAAAATGTCCTAATTTAATATTATCTTCAGTATTTTTATTACTTTTTATTAATATTCATAATCAGTTGTATTAAGTATCTGTATTATTACTTTTTATTTGTATCCATAATCATTTGTAATCATTGTATTTTGTGAATCATAGTGTTCTTGAATACATGTGTGTGAGAGAGACATTGGGTCAAGCTAGACTGCATAAACGGGGGTGAGAGAGTGTGTGCTGGTAGTTAGAGACATGGAATGTATGAAGTTTCCACCGAAGCATAGCGATGGGATATACATTCCATGTTAAATAGAAACCATATGTTCCCCTGGTAATGGAGTATTTTTGGTTAGTGGCATATAAAACCCATCCTCTTTGTCCAGAGGAACAGAGAAGCTAGAATGAAGACATTTGTTTGGTCAATTGTCTCTCTCTCCTATGTCTTGATATTATGATATGATAAAATAAATAAGAGATCTCTCTGCAAAATAACTGGTTTCCGGTCCTGTGAATTATACAACAGGGGAAAAGTTTAATTTCTAAAGGCTAATGGCTACAGCAGGCTAATGGCTTTAAGAGAGAAGAATATACCATTGACTTAACAACCTCCATAGCTTACAGTAGGTCTGTCTTTAAAGGTTTATAAGTTAAAAAATAAATCCCCTATAGAGAAACTGAAATAAATTTTACTTCCGGAACCCAAATGATGCTCTCCATATAATGATATGTGGAACAGTATTTTTGACCAATGAGATTTTACTGTGGTCACCCAATGCAGCAAGGCCACAAATAGAGAAATTAGGTGATCAGGCAAATGTCTTGTTGTGACTGTATAGGACAAAATCTTAAATTTACAAGAGCTATTTCAGGTGATCTCAGCATGAAAGCGAGAAGGGATGGGGGAATGGGGTGCCAAGGGAAAGAGACGTAGATTAAGACGATGCTGAGGTGAGACTTGCGTCTAGGATGGGGATGTTAATTTCGGAAGAGAGAGTTCAAATGTTAATTTTCCAGAAACGTCCTTTGTCTCCTCGGGGAGTAGTCGTTCCTCAAACAGACGGCCCGGCATTTTCGAATTTCCCCAGTCTTACACTACATGCAAACTAACTCAAACCTTCTCCTATTACTGTTCTGTTATTTAGGATAACTTTGAAGATAATCCTGGGAGGAAGTGGCTGGATCATTTCCTGTTTGAAACAGAAGAAAATACAGAAAATGGAAATACTGAAGATGATCTTGCAGACATCTCCCAGAATTCTGCCTCTGGTGGCAAGTTTGTGGACTCTTTCCGCCATTTTCACCCAAAGCGCTCCAATGCCTTCACGTGCTGGTCTACACTCACGGGTGCCAGGCAGACCAACTACGGCACACGCATCGACTACATCTTCTCTGACCGCCCTCTGGTGGAGACGGGCTTTATTGGCGTGGACATTATGCCAGAGGTGGAGGGATCCGATCATTGTCCTGTATGGGCGCAGCTCAGCTGTACCCTCCAGTTTAGTCCGAAGTGCCCGCCCCTGTGCACACGGCACATGCCAGAGTTCATTGGCAAACAGCAGAAACTTTCACGCTTCTTAGTAAAAGTTCCTGAGAAACAGAGCGTTTCTAAAGGGAGTGTAGAGAGTCTACCTGGATCACAGGATGCTGGGGAAATTCGGGAAAACCTGAATCCTGTGGTACAGGGGAACAGTGTTGCAAAGAAGAGACCTACAGATAGAGAAGCAGACACAAATGGACACAAAGCCAAAAGAAGCAAGCAGACGAAAACGGAAAGTAATGCTAAAGGAAGTCTTTTAGCTTTCTTTAAGCCTAAACAAACACTGTTGATACCTTCAAGGGGGAACTTGGGCTTAAAACAGGCAGAATCCTCTCAGGATGGCCCTGGTAGTGAGAGCAACACTAGAAGCTGCCCCAGTGATGCGCAAAAGGAGACAAATCTCTCCAAGTTAACGGAGATGGAGAATGAAAATCAGGATGAAGTGGAAGGAGAATCTACATCCATAGACAAGTCAAAGGACTGTAAGAAAGGGCCATGCACTGGTTTTTGGAAAACTGTTTTGCATGGGCCTCCTCAGCCGCCACTTTGTAAATCACACAATGAGCCCTGTGTTTTAAGGACTGTGAAAAAAGCAGGACCTAATCTAGGCCGGCAGTTTTTTGTATGTGCCCGTCCTCAAGGCCATGCCTCCAATGCTCAGGCCAGGTGTAATTTTTTCGCCTGGGTAGAAAAAGGAAAATAGATTAAAGTCAAGGAATCTTTATGCATACTGTATTTCATGTTTTGAGTGTACATGTATGTGCACTGTGTTGGTTTTATATGTACCATTTTTATTGTTCAACTAACAATAGAGACAGAAATAAATAATGCTCTTTTTCAGCTTGGGTGCTGTTGTCAGTGTATTTTCAGACACTGCAGAAATCCAGTGATAATCATGGAATATCTCAGGTTCTATCTTCTCTTCATCACTACCTGATAAGGAAATTGAGTTCCCATTGTGAGTTATATGAAATTAAACAGACCTTTACCATAAACTGAATTTAAAATTAGGCAACTAAGCAGGAACTGCTGGAGAATGAAAGCCTCTAAATATAAAGGCATTTGTGTTCTGTTAAATATTGTACATGGAATAATTAATTAAACAATATAACTCATTCAATTTAATATGTAATCTTTGATGTGATCAGATCACTGTGTTATACAATGTCTTGCATTTATCATTTTTTTTTGCATTCACATCTTTTCGTCCCATTTGCTCTTCTCTTTTGTGCTTTTGTTTTTCCATTTAATTTAATTGTTTTCTTTTATTTATTTTGCTTTCTTTCCTGTCCCTTTTCATCTGTTATTCATTTATTAATCTCCTTTCTTTAAACCCATTATCTTTCTCATACTTTAGTTTTCTTTCTTTCTTTCTTCATTTGTCATTCATTTCTTTTTCCTTTCCTGATCCTTTTCTTTCGTTGTTCATTTAATAATTAATTCGCTTTTGCTTGTTCTTTAGGTCATTTTCTCTCCTTTCTTGTCTTTCTTTTTTTTCTTCGTTATTATTTTCTTCTCCCCTTTCACAGCAGGCTTCAGTCAGGTGTCTTTTATTTTGATTAACGCATTTCCGGTGTGACTATTTCACATCCTGTGAAGAGAGCTGTTCAAGTTTGTGGATAAAATCTAACGGTACGCGGAGAAAAACATCGACACTAATTATTTCTTGAAGTGTGATGTCTACAGGTAGTCGTGATGGAGTGGTAAGTTTATGAGCTCTGCGTCTACACATTAACAATCGTACGTGTTCTCGCTTGTTGCAAGCTCGTCTAAAATGGCGAGTGTTTTATTGGTGTCGCGCGCGCGTAATGTTATCTTACCTCTGGAAACAAGCAAAACCGATCAAAATTTAAAAAGACATATCAATAGAAACTCGAGACCTATTTTAACAAAGGTTTACTTGAATGAGCGGACAGATAACAGCTGAGCCGAATCAATATTCAGGTGATGCTTAATGTCTACAATTTTACACTTGGTTACTACTTGACAAATTAAGTACTTTTGTGCTACTTTATTTTCCATGTTTTTGTTATTGGTATTTTTTAAATTGAAGGCATTTATTATTGTGACATTGAATGCCACAGGTAAACAGTTAAAAACCATAAACATGTTATCATCATTGATAAGTTTGGGGTCTTTGAATCCAACCTTTCATGTTTTTGAAAGGTTGGATTCATAGTAGAAACAGTAATATTGTGAAATATTACAATATAAATATAACTTGTATTTAATGTATTTTAAAAAGTTATTTATTCTTGTGATGGCAAAACTGATTTTCATTACTCCAGTCTTCACTGTCACAAGATCCTTTAGAAATCAATCTGATATGCTGATTAGGAACAATTTAACATTTATGAAAAAATTATTTGAAATGATAAATACATTTATAATGCCAGAAAAGATTCCTGTCACTTTTGAACAGTTTAATGTCTGCTGAAAAAATCTTATTGATCCCCTTTACTGAACAGTGGTGTGTGTGTGTGTGTGTGAGAGAGTGTGTATGTATGTATATATATATATATATATATATATATATATATATATATATATATATATATATATATATATAATATATATATATATATATATATATTATATATATATATATATATATTATATATATGAGTTTGATCTTATTACTCAGTCCTTGATAGTTCTGATTTGTATAGTATTTTCACAGTTAATACAATATACATTGTTTATGTTTTTTTCTTCATCTTTTAGTGGAACTGGAGTCTACTACCAAGCAATGCCTGCAGTGGGACCAGATGGGAAAAACGTCATGAAGTTGATCCCTGTCCAGAAAGTGAACGGTCAGTTTTTTCAGACGCCGTTTAATACGGAAAGAGACAATGTAGATCTACACCTGAAAGCTTTTTCAAAACCTGTTCATCCTCCTGCTGCGTCTTCATCTCAAACACAGACTCGACTTCCCTCGCTTCAGCCCATAGCAGATGGACGGGTTGTTCTAAAAACACTGCCAGAGTTTAGAACTTTGACTAACTCCATCAAAACTCAACCCAGTGTTATTAATAACTTCACCATTCACAATCAAAAGCAAATGCATGTTCCTCTTACAACACACTCGCTTTCCCAGTATACAGTCCAGTTACCACCTCAACCCAATGGACAGAGCATGACAGCGGTTCAAACGCTGCCTGTTACCGTCAAGTCACCTGTTCTCCCAAACGGTCATTTCCTGCAGATCCCACCGAATGCGAAAGTTAGGACTCTGCCGGCAACTGCACTCCCGCAGTCCATCAAATGCCGGATAATGAACTCTGTGAATTACACTCCTAACCTTGGAAAGGGTCCGCCCACTGTTGTGCTTGTGTCTCCTGTGAACTCTGTGAAGCTAAATTCTGCCCAGCAAATGCTTTTGCTTACTAAGCCGAGTCTAATAAACCCTCCTGAAAACTTGCCAACACCGGTTTGTGTTGCTAAAACTAATGAAGAAGCGAATACTCCCATTAAATGGATTGTCCAGGAGGGAACAGGCGCAACCGCTCCTTGCCTTGTACCTTTATCGACACCCAACATGACCTCTGACATCTTAAAAGCAGTCAAGCGCTCGGTTGGTATGGCAAATGAAATGACGGCAAGTAAAGCCACACCTCCTCAGGCCAGCCAAGAAAAGATCACTCCGGGCAAGGACAACGCATTGGTCATGTGCAACGGGAAAGTCTATTTTGTGGCTAAGAAAAATTCTGAGATCGCCAAGGATGTGATGATCAGCGAAGGTGGAAAAAAGGTTGTTGCCAGCACTTCTCCTGCCCTGCCCGCCAGCTCCGCTCTGGGGTCCAACTCTTCTAAGCGAGCCCCTCCAAAAAGTGTTAGTGAAATCATTGATCTCTGTGATGATGATGATGATGAGGAGACGTCCACGTGCCTGGGAGGCGCCCCGGGTAATTTGCCCACACCAAGTCAAACAGAGGTGGATGAGAGCGATGAAGACTCTAATGTAATATTTGTCTCATATATACCACCAAAGTCAGGTGAAAAAGTGGCAAAATCTGTCTCTCTGAATGAAGGGGGGAAAACGGCACATGCAGAAATGGAAAAAGATGATGTTTTGGAGGATTCTTCTGCTAAAACGGATGATGACAAAATGAATGTGGATGATGAGCAGGTCAAGGAAAATGAAATGGCTGAAAGTAACTTGAGTTGTGTTTCTGAAAATGTGGATATGGAGGCAGATAAAGACTTGAGTAGAAGTCCGCCAGAGACAAGATATCAAGCTGATGTAGCTGTCGCTGAAACTGTCAGCCTGGTGGAACAGCGCCAACATTTCTGTGTTCAAGCCACTGACAATACTGAAAAGGTAATATACCAAGATTACGTTTTGTAAAATAGTAATGTAATATCTTTCAAAAGCCTGATATGTATTTGATGTGTTCTCTCTTCTGTTTCAGGTCATTGGAAATCAAGCCCCTGATCAGAGTCGTCAACCCAAGAGTGACTGTCAGCTGAAAAAAGAATTCGGCATCACCTCTGATGTACAAATTCGCTTGCAAAGAGCAAAGCCAGCTGTGAAGCCAGATCAACAAACAGAGAGACTTATCATAAACAAACGCACATTAGACGGCCTTCGTAAAGTCCTCCAGGATTCAAAGCTGCAGTCAAAAATACAGCAGATGATCCAGGTGAGTTGCATATTTGTGCATCCAGTCTGTTGTAATCAGAGCCGATCCTCCCTATACGCACACTACGCAAGCTGCGTAGGGCCCCGCAAATTACTCAAGGCCCCGCCTCCCCTTCGTGTCAAAGCGCGTCAATCAAAGTTTACAACATCGATGAGATAATTAAGCGGAACTATCCGACTGGTCACGAAAAGAGAGACTGAGAGAAAAACACCATGTGAGTGAATTGCAGGAACAGCGATCAGGCAGACTTGTGTTCTCTCATTCTAAGTTTGATGTCAGCAAAGAACAGTAAAGTTAAGTTGATGTGCATCTCTCTCTATCTGTCTGTCTAACCAACCCGATCTCATGAAAGCGCGTATCTATACCAAGAATTTCTCGTGCCATTTATACGGCAAAAATAGTTTTTGCGTGCATATGATAGGCCTACGCAGTTTTCGTGTGCATATGATTCGCACTTTTTGGCGTTTAATATGCATGCACTCCACAACCCTAATCCTTATCCTTACCCAAGAGATTTACAGTGCGTAGCATATGCACGCAAAAAAGATTTTTGGCGTATAAATAGCACGAGAAATTAAATTCGTGGTATAGATACGCACTTTCATGAGATTACGTTTGATAATACAAAGGGCAACGGTGTTTGTTTATAAACTGCAGCTCGGAAAAGATAACCGCGTCTCTCGTTAACATGAGTTCATATGCGCGTGCACGAAACGCGCACTTTCCAGTAAAACATCTATGGGGACCAGTTACCAGTGCAATATGGGCGTTATGGCACTCCTCATTAGGCGCTCATACTTTTAAAACAAGATAATGATTATCTAGGCTAGTCTCCAAGTCAGTTTAGTTACAACTCTGCAATAAAGCAAGATGGAAAGCAATCTATTGACATTGACTATATTGCATTTAAAATGTTGATTGGCTGGACATATACTGGTCAATATGGATGCACATCCCTCAGTAAATAATAACCATCAAGTATCAATTATTGCTTTTATCATTTAAAACAGTGACATGCAATGGCAAGCCATTTTAGCTTTTATTAATTCACAGGATACATTTTTGATATCAATAATTATATTTGTACTATTTAAAATGTGAATTATTGATATTAATATAAAATATGTCTATTTCTGATATCAGGAATTACATTTTCATTAGTACTAACTAAATGAGGGAGGATTGTAGTGGGAGAACTGGGGTGTCAGGTGTGACTGTGTGGCAATGGCATGGCTCATGGGTCAGGTAGGAGGGCCGGGGCCCCTTAACAGATTTTTGCTTAGGGCCCCAGGGAGGCCAGGGTTGGCTCTGGTTGTAATGTACAGTGCATGCAGTTTTATTGTGTATTTAAGAAGATATTATTTTAAAATATTTTCAAATCTGTATTATTGTTTACTTAAAGGCACACTGTGGAACTTTTCAACCTTTATAATATATTACCAAAACCCATTGAGATGGTACATCGACTTACAATAGGTTGAATGACACGTCTGCCGAAGCCTGAAGGTGTCTGTAATGCTTTTACTAGCACTATGTAACTTCGGGTTTCGGGTAGGAACCCGAGCACAAAAAGAACTACAAAATTCGACCGCTTTACGGCATACGTCACTTCCCCCACCACCCCAACTTCCTCAAATTCTAACGTGAGAGCTCAATTCTAACGTCTGTATGTTCTCGTCATGGCTGAATCAACAGCTACTCGGAAGAAAGCGAAGAAAGCAAAGATTTTGTCAGAGGAGACCAAAAAAAGAAAAAGGGAGTTTAAAATAAACATCGGCATAAAAGTGTATATATAATGTAATATTTACTGCGAATTCGTGTAACAAAACTGATATAAGTCACAACATACTGCCGTATACAAATGTAAATGTAAATGTTTTTTTTACTTTCAGCTCATATATGTTTGTATTTGTGTAAAAGGAAAAACAAACTGAAGACTACAAATAACGGAAATATGTAGTGAGTTATATCAGTTTTGTTACACGATTTCCCGACTACTCGATTTCATCTCCAACCCATTGCAAAGAGATCCTGAAGACGTTTGTTTGCTTCAGGTGCGTTTGATTAAGGTTGGAGATGAACTGTGCAGGACAGACGATCGGCAGGAGCAGGATTGGGCAACCCTTGTCAATGCGACTTACCTGATCAGACATTGTTTTCTGCGTATGCTACTTTTATTCAATTTGTTTTCTTTATAGGATTTATATTATTAATCTTATATTTATATTATTATTTTGGTCAGTAGTGAATCGATTAACTTTCTCCAACATACAAATCAAATGCCGTCTGCACTCACATAAAGACCATAGACTGTAAAAGATAAAGACACGGGAGGTTGACTGTTTGTTGACTTTTGCGACAATGCTGCGGCGCTTGTGGCCTCTAGGGGCACTAGACGTGAAAATTACAGGTCGAGCGCACCCTAGTGGCCAAAAATTCCACAGTGTGCCTTTAAACTATAATTTTTTTTATTTTTTTTTGCTAATTGAAATAAGTCTGAAATAAATAAAATATAAATACTAGATGAAAAACAAACTTACAAAATTAAATTTAGAAATGTTGCCTTGGCAACCAACTGAAATAAAACAAGTTTAAATTGAAGTATTAAAATGACTAAAAATAAAAATTAAAGTTAAATAGAAATATATTTAAAAACAAAAATCATAAAATGACAAAAACATCAAATTAAATTTCTCAAATGTAAACTAAAATTAAAATGAAAAATAGAGTAATAGTAGCTAATTAAAATATGAATAAATACTATTATAGTATATAAATATTACTAATATATAATTTTTTTATATTTCATAAATTAAGGACAAATTTACTTTTTTATGCTTAATTTTTTTTATGATTTCCTGCCCAGCTCTTACATGTTTATCTCTTTCTCCAGTTTGTCCTTGGGGGGAGTAACTTGCCTGACTGAAAACTTGTTTTGGAGGAGATAGGGCTCATAGCAACCACACTGATTAGTTTCATGTGTTTTGTTCATTTGCTGTATCTATAGGTTCCCTACACAAAAACGGAGGACGATGAACGTCTGAAGGTCAAAAGAAAAAAGCAGAAGCAGGATGGGAGTCACAATATTCTCTCTCTAAAACCCTGTAACATTTCACCTTCCTTTAAATCCTCAGTTGTTCCCATGGAAAACGGTTTGGTCTCACAGAACTGTCAAGAACAGGTTTGTTCACCAACAGAATCTGCAGCCGATAAGGTTCATATGCAATCTGAACACATGCTGTCTACTGGTAATACAAGGTGTCTTACTCCTTCACCCGAGCAAAACTCAACACAGACGGCTAGTCATCCCTTCTCACCTACCTCTGTAAGGAAGACGCCACCGCGCTCTAAAAAAGGGAAGGTGTGTACGGCCTGTCCCTGTGGGACTGTTTTAGGGCTTGCAGAAGCCACTTCGTCACTCCATAGACAGGAGAAACCCAATCCATGTTCTGTTGTCGAATCACACAAAGGGACAAGAAAAAGCCCATTGGAGAGCCGCCAACCTCAGAGACTACAACCAAAAGATCAATATCCTGTTAAGAAACGGTTATCAAGTCCATGTAAAGACATGGCTCCATTAGTAAGCTCTACTAGTGAATCCTCAAATAACCTCTCCTCACCTAATAGTTTAAGTGCATCCTCTTCATCCAGTTTACAGGACTGCAACAACCAGATTGTACTGTGCTTCAGCGGAACAAAATACACTAACATGTCGAGCAGCCACACGGATGCTGAAACATCTCAGCAAGACACCAGCCAGGTGCAGACAGCATCAAACGACCCCATCATGCCATTCTCTAAGAAACACCCAGGTCCCGAAATAGACAACTTTCCAACCCAAGCGCTCTACTCGTTGGAAACGCTGGATGCTGAGGAGATAAAGCGGCAGGAGAGGATCAAACGTTTGAAGGATCTCCTGAAGGAGAAAGAGGCTGCGCTGGAGCGGATGCAACGAAGCATGAATGTTTAGTTGTGTCTATGTTTAATTAACTGTACCCTGCATGAGAGACTGAATATGACTGGGAATACCACCATTAAATGTTTAAGAGAAAATGTACAGCATCTTTATTACATTTTTTCCCTTTTTAACTTGATTACTGAATCTGTTTCCAGTTATATTTTATTCAGTGTTTGAGTACCTAAGTGTTTTTGTGTTTGTCTTATTTATAGTTTGTTGCAATATTTCTAAGCAACTTTATATACCATCATCTTTTTTACATCTTTGTATGATTCATGTGCCTTCATTAATCCCGTAATTGTTTTTCTGTAGTTAAATTTATAGTGTAACTGCCTAATTTCGAACTAAAAAGGTGATTAATAAATAAAATGCACTTTTGGAGAACCCTTTGCTTGGTATATGAAAAAGTGAAATCTTTGTATGTTTTGCTAAAAGTACTTTTAATTGTGTAATAGTTGCGCTACTAGTGTACAATGCTTTTTGCAGCATCTTCATTTAGCCAAGTTATCTTAGTACAATATACAATTTTAATTGGTTCTCCCTTTTGCTTCAGACAATGTTTCAAAGTCTTTATATAAAAGAAAACAGTTTCATTCAGAAATGTTTGTGGCGTTAAAACATTCTCTCTGTTGCATGTGCCAGATTATTTACAATGCCAACATTTAGAAAGTGTTTTCAAATTCATAATAGAGCAAATGATTAGAAGATGAAGACCAGAGAGCTGATTCACAATGAACTTTTTATTTTTAGGACACTCTTGATTAGGACACTGCAAACATTGTTATGGACACGTCATTGTATGGCAGATGTTACTGTATTACCTCGCAACTGTATTTCTACATAAAATGGACATTAGATTAAAATCAATCACAGAAGCCAAGAAGTTTATGTAAATACCAAATGATTAATTATTAGAATCAACACAGTGATTTAATTGCTTCAGACATTGCTGGTTTCCTAGGTTGAAATTACACACATTAAATGTTACAAGTGGATCAATATGTTCAGGAGTTTACACTTAAGAATGATCAGAGAGTAAATGGTTATGAGTATTTGGCGTGCTGTCCGGGGGGAGGGCTCCGAGCTTGGAAATTGGGCAAGAACCCAGAGTACTCCCCCGTATCTCTGTTTAGGAAGATAATTAGGCAAGTGTGAGGAGATGGGGTGGTGGAGGGATGCTGAAAACTGTCAAGAACTGGGTGATTCGACTGCATATATATTTATGGGCTTTACTCATGCTGATTGAGTGGACCTGTTGATTACTGATTGCTGACAGCTGGTTGGAATGACTTGATTGTTGATCATTAGAACGTGTTCCTCCCGAACCTTGTTAATAAAACATCAATTGTCAAAAGTCACAATACTTGAAAGGGAGAAATTGAGAAGAGTAGTTGAAAGGACAGGCCAAGAATGGAGTCTTAAAGGATTATTGGGAAATAAAGGAAATATAAAAGATATTTATAGATTAAGGAAAGCATTATTTATTTATCTTCAGAATACAAAATTAAAAAATAGAATTTAATAGATGTAAAACAATGTTGCTACACACTCATGAACAGTAGGTGGCGGTATGCACCTTAAGTTGCTTGCAATCCGCCATGATAGAAAAGAAGAAGAAGAAGAAGTCACAATACTGTTCAGTTTACCATAAGTAACTACATTCTAAAAATACCTTTACGGCAGTTAATTATTAACATTCAATAATGTAATTTTTTTTATGATGATGATTTGTGATCTCTTTAAAAACATCTCAACACTCAGAAAAACAGTTTTCATTTTGGATACCAACACAAGTTCTTCCAACTTTTTCCACAGCTTAAAGGGATACTCCACCAGTTTTTCTTATTAAACTATGTTATTCCCTTAACTAAGACGAGTTGATACATACCTCTCTCGTCTCAGTGCGTGCACTATATCGCTCTGTATTGCCGCAAAACCATGTTAGCACTTAGCTTAGCCCATGCATTAAATATGGGCCAAGCAGAGAAGCGACCAAACACTTCCACGTTTTCCCTATGTAAACACAGTTACTCGAGTAGTGTAACTTGACCTGGGCTGGTGACACAAAATAAACCGTTGCGCTTTTCTAAGCGTTTAAAATTGATGACTATATTGTATGGCGGAATACCATAACAAGTGCTTTTGAGCAGTTCGACTTGGCGCAATAATATCTTCACTAGTGAAAAGTCCTCTTACCGGCTCCCGCTTCCTCTCCCCCTCCCTCTGACATTTCCGTCAATACAACCAACGTGGCTTTTACTACCTGTGCTATTAGCAAACTGCAAATCATTTGCAATGGCGGACTTTGTAGATGATTATGACTTCTTTGTAGAAGACCCAGAGCCATATCTGTTTGAACCCGAGTACACGGAGGAGGAATTAGCTCTTATGGACCGTGAGAGGAAAGAAAGATATGATCCAGAACAGACCGGAGCTGGCGAAAGACCACGGGCAAAAAGCAATTGGTGGTGCAAGTGTGACTGTTGCGAACAGATGCCGACCGAAATTGAGAGCCTGTGCTGTTTAGAATGCTAACTAGCTTCCAACAACCTGTTACTTCGTCAACTCCGCTCGAACTACTACTACCGGCGCATGTCACGTTGGTTGTATTGACGGAAATGTCAGAGGGAGGGGGAGAGGAAGCGGGAGCCGGTAAGAGGACTTTTCACTAGTGAAGATATTATTGCGCCAAGTCGAACTGCTCAAAAGCACTTGTTATGGTATTCCGCCATACAATATAGTCATCAATTTTAAACGCTTAGAAAAGCGCAACGGTTTATTTTGTGTCACCAGCCCAGGTCAAGTTACACTTCTCGAGTAACTGTGTTTACATAGGGAAAACGTGGAAGTGTTTGGTCGCTTCTCTGCTTGGCCCATATTTAATGCATGGGCTAAGCTAAGTGCTAACATAGTTTTGCGGCAATACAGAGCGATATAGTGCACGCACTGAGACGAGAGAGGTATGTATCAACTCGTCTTAGTTAAGGGAATAACATAGTTTAATAAGAAAAACTGGTGGAGTATCCCTTTAAGAGTTGATCTAATGCTTTAATTGCACTGTCTGGTACTGGTAAGTGTGACCACTGTGTTGTCTGCTCACTTTTCCGAAATTTTTAAGGTCAAGTATTTCCATTTTTGTTGCACTGTAACATACTATACAGACCAGAAAGGAACTTAAGATTATTAGATGTAGTACAAAGACATGTGTATAAAAGGCATTTAAAATAAAATCTGTACAAAAGGCAATACAAAATACAGAACAGGAATGAATGCTTATAAGCAGCCTATTGTAAACATTACAATACTGTTATAATAACTTTTACTAGCATTGCTTTCGTTACAGCAACGGTCAATATCTAATTGTAGAAAAATACATTTTCAAGGATAAGTCCTGCACATTGCAGTAAAGTGAAACAGCAATGTTTCTGCCTAAACCTTCTTCAGTGCAACGGCCAAAAAGGTATTTGAAAAAATTGGGCCTCACTTAATGTAAATTATGTGGGGGTTTTTTTAGAAAATATTGCCATTGATGAGAAAAAAGCACCCTTTCAGAGAAAAGAAAACAAACAGAAAAAATTGCCATTGCAACTTATTCTCTGAACATGAGATGCTCCGGAGCAGGTTTTAGAACTAGTATAGCTTGAGTAAGCAAGTTTTGGGTTAATCAACAGAGTTCAGGGTATATCTGAGGGTAAGTTAACCTTCCTCCTGGTCTTTTAATGATATTGCTGTTCATGCATGTTTACTTCCACTGGGATAAGTTCCTGGAGGTGCTCAAGCTTCTCCACCACGTCAAGGTCACAGCACACAGATAAGGCTCCAATGCTGTCACACTCCCATGATAAGTGTATCGCTGGAGAGATTTAAACATGCAGGGATTCAGACATGAAGATCCAGCAGGTGGGGTAACTGAGATTGATCCTTATTTTTTTCCTCCCAAACATATGTACATAAATTAGGTTTATTATAACTTTGTCACCTGAATGCCTAGAATGAAGGAAGTTATCACCTCTTATGTGGGTTATGTTGAATTTGCAGTGGTTTCTTCCACAGGATACTGTTGAGTGTAACACCAACCAATATCAGTCAACATCCAGGCAAATCATGACGTGATTCATGAACTCAAATCAGAGCAATATTTTTTTTAAGAATCAAACATAAGTATAAATGTACAATAAGTGATTGACACATTTCAATTATCGAAAAATGCAGCATTATTATTTAAATTAAAGGACTTACTTTAAGTTTACAACCTAGAAAAAAGAGAAAATATTTGTGGTGAAAATACAAACAAGTACAACAGTGCAACAGACACAATACATTATTGTGTCATGATAACATGACTGACTACTGCAATAAAATAAGCCCAATTAAATTGTGAAAACTGGAAAGTCTCTGCTAAAACAAATTTTAATTAAATTTTAGTGAAATTTTATTTCAGATAAATTCAGCATGTACTCACTTTTGATCTGCGGCACCAGGTGTAGAATTATGTAAATCGATGTTGTTAAAACTACTGCAAATATGAGACCATATCTTCCCCGTCTTGGTGTATAACATGTGACATCTTTTACAGAGCTGCCATTTTCTGTCTGTATTTCATTCCTAGCTGTACAACTGAAATAAAATAAATAATTTAAATAACAGATCAAAAAAAGCAACTACAGGGAGTAAAAAAAATACACCTACTCTGTCCACTTGGTGCATTTCAAACCTGATGGAGAATAAAACCCGGCTGTGCAGTTCACACATACTGTGTCTGAATTCTTTGTTCCTATAAGCAGATACAGAGTGTTTTCAGAAATAAACCTTAATTTTGATTGAACTAGCCTACCTCTTTAAAAATTGAATCATGATAATAATAATAAAAAAGAATTTGGATGTATTCAGTACCTGGTGTTTTTGTTTCTTGTCCTGGTTCACAAACACTGTGTTTTAGAGCATGATGGCAGTGTGAATTGGAGTACTCAATGCAGTGATATCCATCAAGCACATCACAGACAGTGTTTTTTATTGTAGTGCATTTACTCTGGATGTAAATACCTTGAACTAAAAGCGCACAATTAGCACCACTTTCATATAGGCAATACAAGAAAATTACAATTTCTAAAGTTAATAAAATGCATACTTTCAGCACAGTTTCTGCATGTGAAGCATTTATGAAGCCCATTAGGTTCACTTATGAATGTTCCTGGAGCGCAAGGTAGACATGTGGTGCTCAAATCCCCACTACAGTCACTGCGAACTACTGATCCTACAAACAACACAAAGTAACAGTTGTTCAGTTCTTAACCTCAGGGGGTTTGGAAAGACAGCAGACCAGACATTCAACCAATGTAATATAAATAAGACCCTGCTATGTTTGTATTAGTTTAAAACTAAAGCATGCCGTTATAAGTGATTGTGATAACAGCATTTAACAGGTGTAGCAAACTATCTACATCGGATGCGAGCAAAGCATATCTGTGATAAGCTTGCATAATTTCATGAATATACAATCGATCATTTGTTTCACTTATTAAGGGTTCGTTTCATACATGCTGCAGAGAGTCAATGATTATTAAAAACATTTTTACCTTATGCTTCAAAAGGAGCCCTATAAATAACACGTTTTACCATCGACGTTCACAGAGAAGTGAATTCTGTGAGCGAGCGCTCTTCTGAGATGCTGTTTTTAAATGTAAATTATTCAAGTTGTGCTTACTGCTTAAAGGATTAGTTCACCCAAAAATTCTGTCAGTAATTACTCACCCTCATCTTGTTCCAACCCCGTAAGACTTTCGTTCATCTTCGGAACACAAATTACGATTTTTTGATGAAATCTGAGAGCTGGCTCACTCCTTCAGAGGCTGCAAGTTATTTCAGAGAAGTTAGTAAAAACATTGTTAAAATAGTCAAAGTGACTACAGTGGCTCACCCTTAAGTGTATCAAGCGATGAGAATACTTTTTGTGCACAAAAACAAACAAAAATAAAGATTTTATTCAACTATTCATTTTCTTCTGTGAGAACTGAGATGACGACGCTCACAATCATTTGATGGGAAAGTGTGAAAGGTAAGCCATTCATTTTGCGGCATTGGTAAGGCACTTTTAAGTTTTCTCGTTGGTTTCTTACGATTCGGACATCCAGGAAATGCACACTTTAGAACCATTTTAAACACTACATCGAGACCCATCTGCGTCATCTTCTCCGTTCTCACGTATGCGTCGTGGCGCTCTCGTGAACTCACGTCAGAGGCCCACACGGAAGAAAATGAATAGGTGAATAAAGTCGTTATTTTTGTTGTTTTTTTGCGCAAAAAAAGTTTCTCGTCGCTTGATAAACTTAGGGTTGAGCCACTGTAGTCACTTGGACTATTTTAATGATGTCTTTACTGACTTTTCTGTGCCGGCAGATGAAATGACCTTGCAGCCTGAAGGAGTGAGCCAGCTTTTAGATTTTATCAAAAATATCTTAATTTGTGTTCCGAAGATGAACGAAAATCTTACGGGGTTGAAACAACATGAGGGTGAGTAATTACTGACAGAATGTTCATTTTTGGGTGAACTAACCCTTTAAGTAACAGAATTTTGCAGTTAATTTTGAATGGAGTTCTTGTGTGACTTGAGCAATGCGTTTCAAGAAAGTATAGAGGCTTGTTCGACTTCATGCAGCTCTGAGCATACCGATCGGCGCCTGACTTGAAGCAGCACATGCCCGTTAGAAATGTTGTCCGACTTGATACAGCGCCGACGCCACGTAACTGTGATGTATGCCATCAAAGTACTGCGAGAGCGATTCGAGAGTAGCTGGAGAACTCCTCAAGAGTGGCTGAACGAGCTCACAGCTGTTCCACGATTGGCCGGATTCACCACTAAAGCTCACAAATCAGTTTTTTTTATAATAGGAAACACTTTTTTCATGTAGTTGCGATGTTGTATTGTGTCATGTTTTAAAATAAAACTGATTAAAAAACGTAGTCTCCACTTCATTGATAGCTATAGGCTTATGTTGAACTTTATTCTTGTTCAAACCTTTTACAGTCTATGGTTAAAACACGCTGTATGAAGCATGCCATAGACATAATTAATACATAGACGCCCTATTGGCCGCTTTGTAACGTTGCTGCGATACGTCAACGCGTCCGCCATTTTGCTGAGGGCAAGATAAACGAGTGAGCTGCTGTTTTTCTGGATAAAAGCAAAAATAAAGTTTACATTTATCAACCGATTTCAGTGGTTCGTATGTGGTGTACAAAAAGTTCCATCTCTAATTATTTGAAATCTCGATAGTTAGACTTATAAAATATTATTTTAACAAGGAATTGTCAAAGCTCAAGCAATTGTCATGTATTTGGTTTTTATTCTTGGATAAGAATTGTGAAGACCCCCATACTGAGATATAATTAAATTTTCACAATGAATGTAATAAAGTTTTCTTATTGTGGTAAAAGCATTTTCTGTCTTTAACCCGATTTTAGCTTTTCTTGTGCTTAGAATTTAATTGACCACCATTAAGAAAATGAAACAAATCGACAAATCCAAATCACACTGGCAAGCTGCTTTCTGTATTTTTATAGCACTAAAATGAGATATTTACAGATAGATACTCCAAATATTTCGATTTCGTCTATCGTCTATGGGTGGCAGGTCTTTCTCTGTTATAGCCCCTAAGTTATGGAACTCTCTTCCGTTGGCTCTCAGGACAACAACCACGTTGCACGAATTTAAACATAAACTCAAAACACATTTGTTTAACCAGTATTTCAGTCATGAAAATGTTAATTTGACATAACAGTCACAATGTTAACTGTCTGTAATTAATAATTAATGTTTGTTGTCTTTGTTTTTTATGTTTGTACTGCAAATGTAATGCGACTTGCAACTGCAATCGCTCATTACTTGGACTGGGCAAATGTCCATTGTCCGTTTATGTGTAAACTGCTTATCTACTGTCATTGTGAAGCGTCCTTGAGCTTGGGAAAGGCGCTATATAAATTAAACTTATTATTATTATTAAATATACAATAAAAAGATAACTGATGGATCCTTTATGGTAGCCTATACAACTACAGTGCAATGCAAATAGTAAATATAAGATAAAGTGAGAAGTAATAATAAATAGTTTAGTGTATAGTCAATGAAATAAACAAACAGTATACATCGAATAAAATAGTAATCAATAGTATAATTATATAATATCATAAGTAGGCTACAATAATATAATAATAATAGCATATGTGTTATTATACTATAATAATAGCAATATAATATGAAATATCAATTACAGAATAGACAATAAAAAATAATAAGTTAAATAGTGACTATAGTGAATTGTACAATAATTTAACAGCATAACTATAATAGATTGATAATCTCAAGTGGTAGGCTATAATATAATAATAATAATAATAGCAAATACAATGTAATATCAATTGCAGAATAATATAGACAATAATAAAATAGTAAATGAAATAATGACTACCTAACCTACCCGAAACGAGGAGTATAGGCTAACTGTTACTTGTCAGAAAATTCGGTTTTAAGAAAATATTTAATTTCAGGAAATTTACTTTATAATATAAAATATAGGCTAATATAAGCTAAAACTGTAATATAAATCATGTCAACTCATGTATCAACTTTCACAGCTAAGTTAACTAGTGACATCGCTAGCTATTTTAGGCCCTGTCCACACGGACACGGGTATTTTTATAACCGTGACTTTTTTTACGCGGTTCGGCCGTTCGTCCACACGAAAACGCACTGAAACCGAACATTTTTGAAAACCCCTGCCAGGGTGAGGATTTTCAGAAACGCCGGTTACAGTGTTGTCGTGTAGACAGTGAAACCGGGGTTTTTGCCTTGCGACGTCAGAGTTTGCGCCGTTACCCGCTGTGTTTGACGTCAGATTTGCGCTTCTGATTGGCCAACGTGGCTTTACGGTTAATGTTTATATCGCCGCCTGCTGGCATGGCATGCTCTTGACCGCGCTTGATAGCGTGTTTTTACGTTTTCATGTAGACGGAGACCGAGCATGTGTGGACGGGATTTTTTTTAAAAACGCTGTAGGAAAAACTCCGGTTATAAAAATACCCGTGTCCGTGTGGACAAGGCCTTAGTCTGACTGACTCCGGTGGCCATCTAACGTTTTGTACAGGCCCCAAGCAGCACACCGTACCTCCGCAATATGGCGGCGCCGTTGACGTACGATCCAGGTCAGGGTATATTCTGGCAAACCGTTTGACAGAATATACCCTGACCGATCCAGCGGTCAGGGCGTCTATGTATTTATTATGTCTATGGGATGAAGCAGTAGGCTACATGAAATGAAAATGTGCAAACACAGCGCGAGCGTCTCTACGGGAACCAGAAAATGTCCGACTTTTGTCAGTCTCCGTTTGCAGCTCTCCACCTAACGTTACACTCTGCAACTCTAGCTCGCCGATCGGTGCCATACTATCCAGCCGCAGCCTATGTTGAACACATCTTAGGTCTCTGCAGTAGTATCAGTGGGCGTGAACATAAACAGAGGGGCGTTTACGACCGCGTTACACAATAGACTAGAGGGTATGCGCATGACGTCACCGTTGGCCGGAGTGAATGCGGTCACGCCCACAAGTGGCAAAAAGACTGAGCGGCAGCATTTGTTTTCAGCGTGAATGCCGTGAAAAACACACAAAACACATCTAAAACGGGAAAGAGCTTTGCGATTGACTGTACAACTAGATTTGACCAGAAATCTGAGGTACTGTATATTTTTACAGACTGCAAAAAGCTACAGAACAGATTATATTCTGCATAATTGGATGTTTTTAAATAAACACTGACAAAAAACTATACAAGTTTTAGGGTTGGACGATATGATGATATACAGTATAACATTAATGTAAGTGATCACTCATATTTAGACCTATCTATATTGTAAATATAAAACGTTTACAGGCAAATTTTCTTAATTTATTTCCCCGGCGTCGAAATCAGGCACATATAAATGTCAGGAAACACGATTCCTGGCTGCATGTCTATCCATGGATCACTGGATCTTTGATAAGTTGTAAGGAACACTATATCGACTCCAACTTTTAGTTTAAACTGATAATAGTTTGTTTTACTCGCGTTTTCGCAGTTTCCCCTATTAACTCCAGTCATGCAGCAGCTCTTTTGCCACTCAGTCCGGCTGAGGGGGGCGTGTTCCGGCGGGAAAGTGACGTTAATGCATTCCCTCTATTTGCCCACATCACGAATTTAAAAAGCTTCGTTAATCGTTTCTCTCATCACTAGTATCTAAAGGGAGTAGGGGGAGGCTGCAGACCTGGAGCCGGCAGATATACGCCCCGGCAGTTTTACGACCCTGTTGTTCCTGATGCGTCCAGTAGAGGGATATACTGCGAAATAACATCATTAAATCGACGCTTAATAACCCGTCCATAGACTTGACAATTTTGTGTTTTTTGTTAATTTAAATATAAACGTTATAGTGTAGATCTGCACGGATTAAATTATCTGTTTAACAAAAAAACAAGGGGGGTAGGGTAAACGGACATCAAAAGAGATTGAATTAGGTTACACAAATCAATGCAATATTACATTTTGTCAATATAAAAACATGTAAGGTTCTTTACAACAGACTCAATGATATTATTTGTTTTATAAACCTTTGAATTTAAAGGTTCTGACATTTTCTTAAAGGAAGAAAAAAATGAACTTTATATCAGAGGAGAATATTCTAGAATCAGGATTAGGCTACTTTGAATGGTTCTGTCTTTATGAAGATGAAACTTGCCCAGAAGACAAAGTAATAATACCGTATAAGCAAGTTTAACATCGTTAGAATTAAAATCTGACAAAAATAGATTCTGTCATTTGTATGTTAAATAATCTGCTAAAGTTATTGTTTTTTAGCAATGATGCAACATTTATTATTTATAAACGATTAGCTCGATATAGAGCTAGGGTAGGTAGATATCAATTCATTTATATATCAATGGATGGGTCTATAATGTATTTTGACAGGTTTCTGTTCTATCTGGCTTAAACTTAGCTAACCACGTGTAGGTTTAGCTTCCCCTATCTTCTCTACTCAATTTAAAATTTTAATTTTAATTTTCTTTTGTTGCCTGTCTTTAGCTTGGCCTCTTCTGGTAAGACTCTGTTTACTCCTTGCATTAAAACATACTCCACATGGTTTATAGAGCAATATTACAGTAGATAATGGAAATATGTTTAAAAAAATGTACAGTCTATGGTGTGAACACACAAAAGACACATTTATAATAGGTATGTAAATCTCTCTCTCTCTCTCTAAGTAAAGAGTTAAACTGCACACTCACTCAAATACGTTAAAACACATTAAAAACTTTCCCCATATGGTTTGAATGTAGATTCTGGTTTGAGTTGTTTCTTATAAATGAGATGATCTAATTATCTCATTTATATCTTAATATACATTTTTTCTTAAAATAGCTTACTGATCTGGACTCAAATGTAGGGTATGTGCACTTAATGTGGGTTTTTATCATACTCTGTCTTTACCAAGGTCTCTTTAACTTGGATCTCATAAAGGTGTGTTTGCTTTAGCTACTTAAAGAAACACACACACACACACACACACACACACACACACACGCACGCACGCACGCACGCACACACGCAGGGACAAGGTCAAATTCACCATGGATGTCCTTTTTAACTTTTTTAATGTTTCATTTTTAAATGTTTCATCAGTGAGCAGGAGCAGTTAAAGAAAAAAAAAACAGTTAAAGAAGAGTGGCAAACCATAGGGGAGTCATCATAATTCATAAATAGTGTTAATAAATATTTTTTTGTGAACAACAATATTGTCTATATTTTCTAAATGGCCCATGGAATTTTAGAAAAGGGATAAATTGTGTTTGTCTTCATAAAATGCTGTGTAGAACACTGTTTTGTAGCTGTATGATGACCAATAGAATAGTACAGCAAATATTTCATCGAGGATCCATATGATTACACGGTACTGCATGTCTAATGGGCTAAATATAGTTAATATCTAAATGTGACTTTATATAAATTCACAAAAACATATTTCACTCAGTCTCCTGTATATAAAAACCTACGGTGAATTGGCCTATAACTGCAGTAGTAGGTCATAGCATCACCATAGTTGATCCAACTATGTGTATTTTTAATTTTTCAATTCACAAAAACAAATAGTCTTCTGTAGGTTGAGTGAAGAGAGTGAAGCCCAACTGAATATCTACAGAAAATTTAATCCGTGGAGATCTACACTGTAACGTTTATATTTAAATTAACAAAAAACACAAAATTGTCAAGTCTATGGACGGGTAATTAATGTGTAAGCGTCGATTTAATTATGTTATTTCGCAGTATATCCCTCTACTGGACGCATCAGGAACAACAGGGTCCTAAAACTGCCGGGGCGTAAAACTGCCAGGGGCGTATATCTGCCGGCTCCAGGTCTGCAGCCTCCCCATTTAGTCTAAAGGTGGCATGGCCAATAGCGATATTTCGCATAGGGTGTCAAGATGGCAAGAAACGGCGCTGGACCTGAAGGCATTGATGGATGGACCCGATGGATGGACCCAACGTAGAGACCACGACCGCGAGGACACATATTGGAAGCGTAACTGTTATAGCGGCATATCAGTCAGCAGCAGAATGACATGAAGCATCAGCTGTAAGCGCAAGGCAAGATTTCAGCAATGATTGCATGGGTGAATAATTTTTATCCTAGGCCTACTGTATATTCTAGGAAAATTGTTAGTAGGCCTTGTATACATAGGCATTCTGTTTTCAATTGTTTAATATTTCAAATATCAATCATATAATAGTAAAGGTAAACTATAATAAAACGAATGCAATACATAAAGAATATAATTCACGAAAAGTCAGCTACTAAATAAAGCAGTTTATGCGTCACATCCACTGTAAAAAAAAAAAATCACAGCGTCGCTCATCCGGGTATTAAGCTATTGAAATGTATCATTTTAAATAGAAATTAAAAGGGATAAAATTAGTGTAATGCTGCAACTTGTAAAAATGTCAATGTTAATAGGCTATATCACTAATTATTTTTGTGAGCCTACCAATATTGCACATTGGACAACACTCTCCAGCAGCTGATTTATATTCACTCGGGCCACAAGCTTTTCCAAACTCGAGAAGTGTACAGAGAACTGTTAGGGAAAAAAGAATACACCAATTTAAGTACCGACATTTAAAACTGTAATTATTTAATGTTCAACTGAATGAGAATATTTAACTACTTTAACTTTCACTTTCGAAATGTCTTTGCCATTATTCTATAAAGGCCAGTTCACACTTCAACGACAGATCAACGAGAACAGACACCGGGTTTTGTCTGATTAGCGCGTTACTTGTCCTCGTTCGGCGCTTGGTTTTGCCGACGTTCGGTCGTGGAATGTCTGAAAAATGACGTAACATTACTGAAATCTGGTGGTGTCTGCTCGCATTAATGCTCGTCGTATGTCGATCCAGTGTGACTACAAGGTCTTTTATGCGTTTTGTCTTTTTAAATCTCCACAACCTCCACAATCTCTTGCTCTTACCGTAAAGAAAAATGGCATTCACAAACGTCGTTGTCATGTCTTACAGCTTGTAAAAAAAACCACCATCTTTCTTTGTCCTTGTTGTTTTTAAACCGCCATTTTACAAGTGGTAGGCCTACTCCTTCCGGAAACGTTTCATGGCCATTCTATGGCAAGCCGTTTTAACTTTTATTCATTTCCAGGATATGAATTGTTGATATAAAAAATGTCATTGTGGATATCTGTAATTGTATTTTCACTAGTGAAATGTCACCCATACTATGGCAAGCCGTTTTAAACTTTTATTCATTTCATATGAATTGTTGATATCAACAAATATCAACAATTCAATTGTTGATATCAAAAATTGAATTCTTGATATCAAAAATGTAATTGTTGATATCTGTAATTGTATTTTCACTAGTGAAATGTCACCATAGACTGGTAAGAATTGAATTAGAGAGCTCTGCAATTGTAATTGTTACTAGTAATAATTGAATTATCTGGTCTTGATATCAACAATTGATTTTGAATGGCAGCCTATGGTGACATTTCACTAGTGAAAATACAATTACAGATATGAAGAATGGCAGTTTTTACTAGTGGAAATGTAATTTCTGATATCAAAAATGGCCATTGTTATAGTAGAAATCTAATTCCTGATATCAATAACTATCATTTTAACTAGTACCGGTAATAATTGAATTGCTGATATCAAGAATAAGTATCCTGGAAATGAATCAAAGTTAAAAACGTCGTTGATATTAAAGTGTATTATTCTCGTAAACGTTGATCACGACATGATTTAGCCAGTAGAGTAACAAGTAAACAAAGGGAATAACAAAGGATATACAATACAATGAACAAAGAATAAGATGATATTGCTTTTAACAGAAAACGGCTGAGGTTGGATGTTCTCTTCTTGGCTGGAGTTTGTGTTGGAATCAGTCCATCCATGGTCATTTTCCAAAGCAGGATCAACGTTTTTTAGGACATGGTCCCCTTAGGCGAGAGACGTGGAACATAGGCTACAAAAGCTAAGCATATTTGATATTAATAGAAACCAAAAATATTATGAAATGTATAATGTGTTAAGACAGTAGATAAGAACTATGCAGTTTATTGTTGTTGCATATGTATCATTGTCTGTATATTACTTTTCAGTGTTTAAATTGACATGTATGCATCATAACAAGCTTACATGTTGCAATAAAAATCACAATTCATTAGTTGTGTTTTAAATTTATTTTAATGAATTTGTCATTTGTCATCAGATGGACAATTAAACATTTATCTGAACTTTAGCTTCAAGTTTACTAAAACTTTTAATTTTACTGTGAGATGGATAAGAATAAAATCACTGAGCAACTGAAATTAGCAGGGCTGCCAACTTTTAAGTTTAGCTTGAAGTAAGAATTTGGGGCGGGGGGGGGTTGCTGATTGGGGGATGTAAAAAAAATCTTGCATCACAAAAGTGTATTGTGATTGATTGTCAAAACATTTTAGTAACTAAACAGAATTTTATTCGGTTTAGTGACATGTTACAATGTTTACATGCTACAATTTCTGGTAAGCTACGTTTTTTTATTATTGCTTGACAAATTTCACGATTTCAATTCTTGTGTTTGATTCAATATTGACTCATTTGGATAAATATTAGGTAGTCTACACAATATAGGCGTTAATTTTTCTCAAGAAAAAAAACCTCACCTAATGCTGTAAACACACAAAGAGCCCTATCAGCTGGTAGTATTAAGGTTAAAATAACTCAAATTAAATATAATGCGTTTTTTTAATTCTAATAACAACTTTATTTAATGATATAAGTAAAAATATAATAAATATGTAATATAGTAGTCGGCTACACATATTCAGCAAAATACTCTCTATAGGTCTTTTTTCTAGCATGCTCTATTACGCTTTGGCCGCTCTGACGTAGCAGCATTCTATGTTCAATCATGGGAGAAGAGAAGTGTCACAACTTGAAATGTAAACAGAAAAAACAATACATTGACACTAGAAACCTTTTATAATGACAGTATTTTTATAACCGTTTTGGTCACATTTGGTCGGGAAAAAATAAATAATTAGCAATTATTATATATTATTATTTTTTGCATCTAGTGCAATTGGTCAAATCGGTGTTACCGTGAGCAAATGAATTGCATTCCCGCTTAAAATGAGTGTTCGTAAATATTTCCAATAAAAGTTGCGCTCATCCTCAAATGTGTATCACTGGATCATTATGGATCATCGTGAAGTTGTTGTGTTTGGTGCTGCTGTATTGTATTTGTGGAGAAGACGTCGGACTCTGAGATTTTGGAACTAATGTTTTGGTAGGAACGAAAGTTTACATCGTATGTTTCTCTGGAATCAGCTAGCGCGAAGGACCCAAGGGGGTAATCCCGAAGGGATAATCCATCAGCTGGAAACTGAAGCTTCCCTTGGGGGCCGCCATTGTAGCAGACCATCACCTGCTGTTAGCATTCCATTGACTCCCATTCATTTTGGCGTCACTTTGCCAGTGAATAACTTTACATCTGAGGCATCCAAAGACTCCATTTGTCCATTGTTTATTTCTGAAGAAACACAACAATGTATAAAAGGCTCCATTACTTTGTATCTTACGTTATAGCCCCGTAGAAGCAGTTTTTGTAAAAATAGGCTAACGATTGCGTCATAACCATGCGACTCTCTGTCGCACAATAGAGAAATTACCGTATAGACAGGAGGAGAAGCTCGCGGGCAATCGGGGGGACGTGGAGGCATAAAGTCAAGGGAGAAGCCCATAGAGAGTCATAAAGTTGATCCTGCTGCGAGCTCATGGACAGCTAATACTCACGATCTCCGGCTCTGCAAGATTCTGATTCAGATTCCCCTTGGCACAGCTACTAGAAGAGTTACAACTGTCAGACAGGTTTCTCACATCATAACTACTTCTTCAAGCTCAGTTTGAGCCTGCGCAGTACGCTCAGCCATCAGGAAGTGAGTGCTTCTAATTGGCTTCACTTTTCTCCGTTGAAGTCTATGGGGTCGCTGTGTTCATTTCCTTTACTGTCTATGGTTTTGCCGCTGCTTGCCGCTGAACCGCGTCATAGCTCATTAGTACCATAAAGTTGAGCTACTTTCAACTTTCTGACGCTCTGGTCGCTCAAAATGCCCAAAACATGACGCTGATGGATTTGATGCTCCTTGCAGCTGAGAGAAGCCAGCTTCCATTGAAAATTAATGACTTCTGGTTAATTTGGAAGCTCAAGTCGGCAGTGTACGTACAGTAAGTAACCTGTTCTGTCAAGTCTGTCGGTCCTCTTTGCTTCGCGATTTTTCTGTTCGTGAGAAAATGGATTGTGTGGCATGAGAGCGTTTGAAAGGTGTCGAATGCGTGAGAGTTGGGAGCCCTAAATTAGTGAGGGTGCTCTAAAGTGCAGGTGAAATAAGCAAGACAAATAGAGAGACATTTAAGATTAATTACAAGTCATTTTTACTTTTTAATTATTTTTAATTAATAATTGGAATGGAATTGGAATGGAAAACATATTGCTATATTTGTCTATCAACCTATTAGTATGCATTTAATCTATCTTTCGAACCAACAGAGGCATGGCCGGATTCTGAACTGTTGTGATTCTGTGGAAAGAAAAGGATAATTAATAATGTGGTCCACTGCTTAGCCATTTTCTCTTTCTCTTCTGATCTGTAAAAAGGCATGTGTGTGTCTTTCTCAACATAAAAATGGCCTGTATAATAGTTTACACTTTTTCATGTTTGGTCTTTTGATTTCACTGCACCACATGGAAAGCAGTGAGAGGGTAGACTACGGTATATTGATGGGTGTTAGATTGGCACTGTTCCAAAATGTTTGGAAATTTTGTTGATCTGGTAAACCCATGAATCAGAGTCTGGTTTTAACTTATCTCTGGTCAGTTTTATAATTTAGGTTAAGTTTTAATGACATAATGGCCCTCATTTATCATTCTTGCATAGAAACGGGCGTATATGTTGGCGTAAGATTATGCTTACACTCCTCTCACCGCCTGATTTATGAAGCTGTGCGTACCTTTGAAATCCAGGTGTACGCAATACCTGCCCTTGATAAATCCCACGGCTGAAAACGATCGTCATTAGAATAACACGCCCAAGTCTCCGCTTCCCTCACGCCCTCATTTTTCGCCATGGACACAAGGAAGACGGCAAAGAAGAGAAACTTCTCTGACGTGGAGCCGAAATGACCTATCACAATGCAATATTTTACAGCACGTCTTCTGAATTAGCATTCAATTTCGAATCACGTTACATGTATTGGGGTGTACAATAGTGATGATGATGATGTGATGTGGAGTAGGCCTACCATTCATTCACATTAATAATTGCATGACAATTTGTAATATGCTTCTTATTATTAGTATGATTTGTATTATTAATGACGCTTATTGTTATTTAGAAGAAGAATGTCATTATTATTATTTGTATTATTATAATTATTTAAAAGAAGAAGAATGTATTTTTTATTATTTTGTCAGTCTGAATTATTTGTTGGTCATTGAAAGCCTTTCGTTACCGAACCCAGTCCGTGCGCACCTGCCGGGCCTAACCATGAAACGTCAGGGTAAAGCGCACAGGCTCGCAACTGAAGGAATACATATGCTTATAAATCAAATGCTTTGGTAAAGTCACACAAATTAAACATTGAAGTCCATGTTGCACAAAAATAAACACTGAAGTAAATAATTACTATGTTTTTGTTTTTTTGTTTTACAGTGGGTCATAATATATCATATCTTTTAGTTTGTCAGTGCATTTTATGGTGTTAGGAATTGTTTTTCTGCGCATTTCCGCACTAACTCAAAACGTGCGTACATGTACACCACCTCCTGAGCTGGCGTAAGATTTGAGCGTGCCATACGCCAACGTCCATATTGATAAATTTCAAAGTCACCGTGGTTTTGGGTGTACGCCAGGTGTACGCTGGAAATTTGGTGTACGCACTTTTGATAAATGAGGGCCAATGTGTGTATAATGGAAAAACTGAGACTGATATTTCATTATCATGGCCTGATTAGCCAAGCCCTCTTAAAACAAAAACAAACACTGCAAATTAATTTAAAAAATTTACCTACACACTTTGTTTTTTTGATAGATTAGGCCTATGTGCACATGTGTTGGTTGTTTTCTTGATACACTATGTTTCAATTAAACTCGGTTCAATTAACCCTCAGGGGCTCTTCGTTTCGGAGTCACACTTGTTATCTTCCCGGTCAAAAGTGACCGGACACCTAAAAATGAAACTTTCTCCATCCCAGTAAAACCAATGCAATTTATTTTTGTCTTTTTAATTTTGTATTTTGAGAGAATTTGATGTTACTTATTAGTATTTATGCAATATTTATGGTCAATTTTTGCCATTTGAAAATAATACAAAACATTTTTTTCCTAATTTTTAAAAATATTTTTTTTTTTGCAATTATTGCAGTATGTCAGATTAATATAGAGACCTGGGGCCTCATTTATAAACACTTTGCGTAGGTTTTGCGTCAGAAGTGGCGTACGGATGAAACATAGGACGTGCGTACGCACAGAAATATTCGGATTTATAAAACCGTGCGCACGCACATCCTACACATTTTTCCCTTAAGAAATCACAATCAATTCTAAATGTAGCGCAGCTTTTGCGGCTTCATGTCACGCCCATAGTTGCCCATAAATAGTCCGTGAAACGCCCATAAGTTAATATTCATCGATTGCGAAATCATGGCAAACATAGAGAGGAAATCAAAAAAACGTAACTTCACTCAATGTGAAGTAGAAGTTATCGTTGGCGAGGTGGAAAAGAGGAGAAAAATGTTGTTTGGAGGGCCCAGTGTGGGCATTACTAATGCCAAAAAGGCACTTGAGTGGCAAAAGGTTGCAGACGCCGTAAATGCTGTAGCCTCAAAACCTCGGACTGTGGCCGAAATAAACAAGAAATGACAAGCTACAGATGTCGGTTATAATCTACTTTGAAATGGGAAATAGTTCAGCGCAAATGTAATTTCTTGCAGCTTTCTGAATGATTGAGACATAGGTCTACGTCATACGTTATTTTATCAAAAATATAACAAACTAAAGGCATATGCATGAATACCATGATTCCGTAGCTGATGAAGACATTTTTTTCTATGAAAACAACTTTCCCCAGAGGACAAATAATCTATCTATCTATCTATCTATCTATCTATCTATCTATCTATCTATCTATCTATCTATCTATCTATCTATCTATCTATCTATCTATCTATCTATCTATCTATCTATCTATCTATCTATCTCCCTAATTATCTATCTATCTGACTATCTATCTAATTGCATCTATCTGCTCCGCCTGACGGACACATTGGCGAGAATATCAGTTTTGTACATTATTTCGTTCTGTTTACCATCTTATTTATGAGGATGAATTGTATAACATGCCAATGTTATTGCAGAACATATTTCACTTTTCTTTTTGCAAATATGTGTTAATTTGCATTTCTGTTGCAGATCGATCAAACGGGTGTTCGTGTAGGCTGTTAATTGTAAGACTTGCTTTGTTAAGTCTTCGTGTTATTTATGAGAGGCAGTATTGCCATTTATTTTACACAACGGTCTACAGTTTCACACACTTCTTCCATCTGCCGACGGTGTCGCCATTTCTCATTTCACCCGTTTTTGTGCGTACGCCTGGGTCAGAGCTTGCGTGAAGGACCGCACATTTTACCGTCAAGTTTGCTTTTTATAAATACCAATTATTGCGTAGAGAGCGGCGTACGCCTTCTTTTGTGTTTACGCAACGTTTATAAATGAGGCCCCAGGGGCCTCATGTACAAAGACTTGCGTTGAATTCATACTAAAACATTGCGTACGGACAAAGCTGTAAATGTGCGTACGCACAAAAAAAAGCAGATGTATGAATCTCTGCGTACGAAGGATCCCACGCATATTCTCTTTGTACATCCTAATTAACGTAAAATTGAGCGCACATGCACGAGCACAACGCCCCACCCAGTCTCCTCCCCCAATTAAATTAATTTAAATATGGTAATTAGTCCAATTTGGCAAAAGAAACCTGCAAGAACATGTCTAAAGCAAGAGACATGAAGTTTACTTGGAGGAACGCACATTCTTAAAGGTGCTCTAAGCGATGTCATGTGTTTTTTAGGCCAAAACATTTTTTGTCACATACAGCAAACATCTCCTCACTATCCGCTGGCTGCCTGTCCCCTGAACACACTGTAAAGAAACGCGATCTCTGTAGACAGCCCATGCTTCACAAACAGCACCAAAAACAAACTGCAGCGACCCGCTCCCCAAAACATAACAAACTGTTCCAGCCAATGACCGACAAGAAGGGTTTGGGGGTGTGGTTTGGGGGGTTAGTGTGCGGATGAGGAGGAGGGAGGGTCTAGCTAGCCTCCGTTTTGTTTGACAATAGTTCGAACGTCAACAAGAAGTGACGTCACCCAGGATCGCTTAGAGAACCTTTAAGTTAATTTCACTGTTAGTACATCTGGCCGTGAACGTGAAAGCTGACGTACGCCGTGTTTTTGTGCGTACGCAGTGTTGATACATGAGGCCCCAGGCCTTTTAAATACAATTTTTGAAGTCAGATTAGCGCCATCTGTTGAGAGAATAAAACATGTCATTTCATGGTGTAACCACTAGATGCCTGTATAGCTGTCTATGGAGAGGCTTGTGAATTCTCTACCTTTTTTTGGACAAAATTACTTACTTTTAAGATGTGGATTTGAATGTATTTTTTTTTCCAATTCTCAAACAATAATTTTTGCCATGGTTTATAAAAAAAAATTAAATAAATTTGATGTGAAGTGTACACGTTTTTGCATTATTACTACAGTCAAACCTGAATACAGAGAAAGCATTTTGTTACAGGTAACATTACAATTCAATAAAAAAAATAAACAATAATGCTTTTTCACAGCTTATTATTATTTATATTATTGCTATTATTATTATTATTATTATTTTTAAACATTATGTTAATTTATTATTATTTTTAAACATATTAATAATTTTGATTATAATTATATTATATATATATATATATATTAATTATAATAATTAATTATGTTATGTTTTTCACTATATTGATGTTTTTTTCCTGCATTGTGGCCGATTTGTAGAGAATTTGTGTTTGTCAATTTCCCATTCATTTCCTATGGTCGGTCAAAATTCATTGGTGTGTATGTGTATAAAAAGTGTGTTTGTGTGTGTGTGTGTGTGTGTGTGGTTGAGTGTGTCTGTTTTGCACTCTTGGTGTTTTAGAGTGTCACCCATTCATTGTTGAGCACTTTTTTTCTGGATCGTGGCCGATTTGTAGATTGTACTGTTTTTTTGTCAATTTCCCATTCATTTCCTATGGTCGGTCATTTTTGACCGAAGAGCACAAGTGTGACTATTTTTTTTACGACCACTTAGCCTGCTCGGATCATGACCTCAATTTTTTTGTGTGTTCCCATACCTAATGCTATAAAAGTCACTAAGTTTCGTAACATTCCGATGAAGCTGTGATTTTAAAAATTTCAAAACAGAAAATATGACCGAAGAGCACCTGAGGGTTTTAATTAAGAGATTTGAATGGCTCAGTTTCTCCCATCATAGTCTAGACAGGAAATTAAAATCTGAAAATAATTGCAGTGTCATGGATATTTATAATTTAATTTTTTCCCTAAAATCCATTTTGTCAGTAAAATGTTTTTGCAAAAGTACTAATTTATTAAATGTCTCACAATCATGACTCTGACCCTTAAAATTAAACAGGCCATTTTTTCTGCTTTGTCTTCAAGACAAAGATAACAACTCCCTCTTCACACAATAAAATGAGTAATAATGCTTCCTCATGAGTTATTAGGGCCAAAAAAAGCCTGCATTACATTGTGACACAATACACACTGAAAAGTAAAACTTAATCTTTCTTAGAGCAGCAAACGAATAGTATCAGTATGGCAGTTTTAAACTGTCAGCAACATACTGGTTGCTTAGTCAGTGATAAAAAGGAACTGGATTTGGAGATTGTGGGACATAGATTAAAAAATGTCAGGACCTTTACTAGCAAGTACTTTTTCAAAGGAAGAACTACACAACTGGTTTCATTTCAGCACCATTATATAAGGCCCTAGTGATCAGCTGTTGGTTCTTACCCAATTCTGGTTTATCAAAGTAGGTTCAACGAAGTCTCTCCTTTCTGCACAAAAACAGAAATTATTTCAGCAAAATAAAGCTTTATGTACAACCTGTTTCCTATTATAATCCTATTTTAAATGTTTAACATAGAAGAACTGGTCAAATATTCACTTACTGATTCTGAATCATCCTCTGTTGCTTGCTGTGGTATTTTGTAATGGACATCTACAATATAAAAAGTATTAACACTGCTAATGCTAATAATACTAACATGTTAAAATTAGTACTTAATGTAATTTTATTATAAGAATTTAGTTCTTACGTTCGTTAGGCTGACATGCTTTACGTTTTTTGTATATGATGCATGCTAATAGCACCAAAACAGCAACAACTATGCCTCCAACTATGACTCCAACTATAAGTCCAACTGAAGTCACTTTCTCACATTCAGCATCAGAAGTTGTTGTTCCTGCTTTTATTTCTGTAAGTCCCTTAATCTCACATCTGAAAATGTTTAACTCAATAATATTAGTATATCCAGTCTTATTAGAGAAATCTTTAATTAATATTTGTAAATCTGTGCACACTACTCACTTTGAATGTGGTTGGCAGGCCATAAGAGATCCATTTGAATAAGTGCCATCTGTGCAGTCAGCACATACAGTATCAGCAAATGATGTTCCTGTAAAAATATTGAGATCCTGAATGAGATACAAAATGTCAACAAAGCTGATACTAAGGTTAATGGGGTTATCAAAAAAATACATATTACCTCAGTAATTGAATCAAAATTGTTCAATACAGGAAAAAAAAAAGCTTGTACTAAATATATGAGTAATATTGAAAATTATTCTACAATTGAGTATGCACACACACCTGTTTGTTTAATATATTTTCCAGGTTTACATTTAGAGTGTTCCACAGCTAATTCACAGCTCCGTTTATTTGGTTGAATGCAGTGAAATCCTTCATGTGGCTCACAAATTGTGTCTGCAGAGCGTGTGCAGGCCTTTAGCACTCTTAGTCCTTGGACTGTGGACACAAAAACAAAGCACCTAATCATATCTAAACTGTAGGCTAATGCATAAGACAGCACTTCATTATTAGTTTTATATATCTTTATCATAAGTTATTGCATTTATCACTGGGCACACACCCGCATCACACACAGTGCAGGAAAAACATGCCGTGAGTCCGTTGGGTTCGTCTGTGTACGTTGATGCAGGACATGGTACACAAGTTGTACTGGTATCCACAGTGCAATGCCAATAAACACGGTTTCCTAAAAAAAAAAAAGTGTAAAATGTGTTTGATCAGCTGAATTCTAGTCATACAGATGTGTGGTTACAGCCAAAAACATTTACACATAAGATATGACATAGCCAAAACAGCTTCAATGAATGCAATTAATCATTTAAATGAGTTCATTGTGTAATACAATTTTAAAAACAGTGCATCTTTGGGCTTCTGGCATTTAAAGCATACTTAAGTTGGACTTTGATTTTACAATTTTTATTTAAACTCTTTAGGATCTATAAATTCCTACTGTGTTATATTGGTTAACAACATTACTTAAAGGAGTAGTTCACTTTTTAAAAAACTTTTGCTGATAATTTACTCACCCCCATGTCATCCAAGATGTCCATGTCTTTCTTTCTTCAGTCAAAAAGAAATTAAGGTTTTTGATGAAAACATTCTTGGATTTTTCTCCATATAATTGGGACCCAAACGGTCCAAGGTCCAAATGACAGTTTCAGTTCAGCTTCAAGTGGCTTTAAACGACACCAGACGATGCATGTTGAATGAACGAAATGACTCGAAAAAAAGATTTGTTCATTTTGATGAACGAGTTCGAACAGGAGAGTCACGAACGTGCATCACAGAACAGAGCAAGGTGAGCATTTGTGCTTATAAAACGTAAACTTTTTTATTTATTTTTTAAATGACCGATCGTTTCGATTGATAAGACCCTTATTCATCGTCTGGTGTCGTTTAAAGCCATTTGAAGCTGCACTGAAACTGTCATTTGGACCTTGGACCGTTTGGGTCCCAATGAAGTCCATTATATGGAGAAAAATCCTAGAATGTTTTCATCAAAAACCTTAGTTTCTTTTCGACTGAAGAAAGAAAGACATGGACATCTTGGATGACATGGGGGTGAGTAAATTATCAGCAAAAGTTTTTTAAAAAGTGAACTACTCCTTTAAGGCCGGAACACACTATTCAGGGGTTCTCAAACCTGTCCTTATAACACCACACATTTTGTATTTTGAATTAGCCGACACTGATGATTCAACTCATCAACTCATTTGTAGAGACAGCAAGATCTGAATTCGGTGTGTCAGATAAGGGAGATCAGCTAAATGTGCAATGCTGATGGTACTCGAGAAACTTTTAGTTCAATCTATCTTTATTTTTTTAATTAATTATAATCAAACAAACAACATAATTTTTGTTCACATATAATATAATGTTTGTTCAAAATGATTGCACAACTGCCCCAAGGGTGGCTTTATGCACTAAGAATGTAAATCGTCATCAAACAAAAGAAGAAAAAAGAAGTAATATCATGGCATTCTTTTTACAGGTGACTCCTTGATTCTGTGCTTAGTTGAGAATGTCTTTGTGTGGTCACTGTTAATTCTGAGTTTCGTACTCTGGGTTTAATGTACTTACCCCAGACTGTGGTTTGAAACCTGGATACCTCAAATAAGCAAGGTTTGGATTTTTTTTTTAGGTTTGGGTTAACCGAGAGTTCTGGGTATATTTGACTTTATGCTTTTTGTTATATATGCTTTCTGGAATACCCCCCCCAAGGCAGGTTTGAGAAACCCTGGTGTAGTATATACACAACTTTTAAAATATGACCAGATTTTTTAAACACAAGGCATCATACACTTGCCAAAAAAGAGGTTTGATATTCTCCAACTGGATGGAATCAGTCTAAAGCTTTAAAAGAAAAGTCAACTTTGCCTGTCTAAAACCTGCAGACTGGCTCCGACTTTTGTCTATTAGCATCAACTTCTCTAGACTGCAAATCAGGGCAAAAATCTGTGAAGTTGTGTAGTGTATTCCAGCCATTACTGTATAGAACCAAAAATAAAAAATGTTTTACTGTACCGGGAGCACACATAGGGCAACATTCTCCATTTATCTCATATTCAGCACGGGCACATCCACAGAAACAAAGTTCAAAATTAGCAACCATGACAATGCCAACAATGGATATAATGGTCCTTAACAATAACATGTCCATATACAGTGCAAGGCAGGTTTATTTAGTCCACTCAAAAGGGAAGGAAAACGATTCTCCCTCAGACTTCATGAACCTATTTTTTTTTTTCACAACTTCACATTAAATAGTAGATTAGATGCCGGAATGCTTTGGCATTTCTGTCGACTGGGAGGTGCTTTAGTTCTGTGTTTATATGCATATAAAGGTGATCTCAGATCCTGATGACAGGCTGCCTGCCTTTAGATGATCAGCATTAGCTTGATGGAGTCTTTAGATGTTTTGGCAGAACACTTCACCAGACATTTCTTCCTCCTCAGTCCTCACAATCGGCATGACTCCTCTTAAATAAGCCGAGTAATCGGCTGAATTCTGTAAAGAGTTGAAATAAAATGGTTATAGCTAATGCTCTGTGTTATGCACCATTATGAGGCCTGCTTTAAATGTGCCACTGACTTGTTTGTATATCGAATACTGATATGACCACTTTAACAAAGTCAACATGTATGTTTGAAAACTAAAAATGTCAATAATCCAAAAAGGCCACCTGAGCAGCAAAAACATAGGCTACTAATTTCACATGCAAAGAGGTTGATCAGCAAAAAAGGCCCATTTATTTTATTAACGGTCAGAGGGAGCAAAAACAGTCATGTAAAACTAATGTGAGATGCCTTGGCCTCAGAGAACAGAATAAAATAATAACAAAAAATATGCATTTAATTAGTAAATTAGATATATAGGGTTGGGTTTTCATTGTGGCCAGAGAATCTTGCACTGGCCAGTGTTACACTCACTCATACTGACACCTACTGGCGTGCGTCCGTGCAGCATCACGCAAATATAAAGGTTTACAGTAACGGACGCGACTGTTAATACGTTATTCGTACTGACCCATGATAGATTTATTTCGTGTCTTTCCTAGAATGGGCAGTTTGTGACTTTGCGAGATAAACAATATGAAGTAGCACTCACTGGTATTACAAAACATTCAGTGGCACATACCAATCAAATACAGACGTGACACAAATAACGCGTTTGAAAAAATATTACTGACTTTAATGCGTTTAATTGATATTTAAAATATCACAAAATTAGTCACAATTACGTCAGGATAGGTGCTCGATTAATCTGTCAGTCACTACTGGAGGTGTCACAACACACGGTGACATGTTCCGCGACTCGGTGTCAGTCAGGTGTCCTGTCAGTGTGTCGCGATTGGGGCTGCGTTCCAGTCCACTTTTAGACACGCACTTGCGAACTTCCCTAAGCACTTCCCCTCGGGGGAATCCCTGCGGCCATTTTGAAGTGCGTTCCACTTCATGAAGTGGACGAGGGAAGTTTATATGGACAGACACTTTTCCCTCGATTTTGACAGAGGGAGCGAGTCTACTTCATATGTACACTTCAGGCAGCTCCATATACCACAATGCAACACAATTGTGACGTCACCGCAGATCTCGTCTAATCACCACCACCACAAACAACTCTGATATATTAATTATATATATTTTTAATTTAAAACAACCCAAACACACCTATATACATTTGGATGCTGCATTAAACAAATTCTTAAAGGAAAAAAAATGTAAATAATAAATCAACTCCACAGCTGATTCCAAGTGATCAAGGGCTTAGGACGTTCCAATTCAGCCAATTGTTGCAAAAGTTGCAGTTTCCGCCAGAAGTGGGCACTCGTGCAACGTAAGCAATGACGTAAATCCGAGTGAACAAGACGGAGGGAAGTTAGCAAGTGAAGGGCATGACAATTTTGGACTGGAACGCAGCCAATGTCAGCAATATTAACCAACTGCAGAACCGCAGAACCATACGTCATAGCAGTGTGAGGACGACAGGGCCAGCCTAACCGTCTGATGCCGGAAGTGGGCGGAGTTCATGTTTAACGCGGAGCACACAGAACCATAGATAAACAGAACAAGGAAAAGAAGAAGATAACAAGTTCTATCTTTGATGGATGCAACGAACATACTTAACATTATACGCTTATACACAACGGCTCTAAGTATTTTTTAAGTTACCGGTAATATTCAACAATACGTTTGATCTGTCATTGGGCGCGTTTCCATTACAGATTTGTGCAATACTTTAAACCCATTTAACCCTTAATTACTAAACGAAAAATGAACGTTTTTTTTTTTTTAAACGCAAAGTTGAACAACAAAATTTCATTTGAACTGTACACCAAATGCTGCGCAAAAAAAAAATTGTTTATGACTTTTTGGCCCTTCATTAAACATTTAAAATATTCACAAATTAATGGGGTTTTTTTTACTGGTTTTCTAAGGCCAAATTAGAACCTGGAAATTATGTTTTTCCCGCAGTGCTGAATGAGAAGAACCATATAACCACAGCCTACAGAAAGGTGATTTATTGGCGAGTTATAGGCTATAATAAATGTGTCTGAAAAAATAACGAGGCATTTTAATTGTTTATTAATTAACTTTTAAATTTTCTAAATCAGTGTAAATTTCAAGCTTTAAACTACAGAGGCGATATTTTGTTTCAGTTCTCGCGCTCCAGTTCACGGAGATCATGAAAGCGCGCCTGATGGTTTTATTTTATTTTACGAAAGCACAACGTTTTCTTGTTTACACAAATAAAAGTAGTTGCGAATAATGTATTATTATTTTCTGTATGACCAAAAATGATAGAGTATTTTAAGTTGTTTCCACTGTTGATAGGAAAATGCAAGTGTTCGCGCCCGCGCCTCCCTGTCATCAAGTGCACACTCGCACAAACACTTGGATATGCGTCAAAATCTTGTGTTTATTTGTGATAATCTTAGCCCATTATAAATGAGATGTGACGAATTGCTTTGTTATTTTATTTGGATAAAAGCGTATTCTACATATGTAGCCTAATAAATGTTATAATAATGATGATAATTATTATTATTGTTTGCGGACACGGACCACGTCTTCTAGGTGACTGTAAATGCGCAAAACCTGTTTCCATTGCAGTTTTACGAAATATTCCTTTTTCGAATTGCCTGAAAAACTTCCTCATGCGAGCGTAAAAACTTGTTTACGATAAACGGGAGTTTTTGCGAAATGGACGTGTTTCCATTGTGCGTATTTTCAATTCGCAATTTCAATTTGCGCAATTTGAAGGGTATAATGGAAACGCGGCTAATGACACCATTATATGAGAACTGAACTGAGCTGGACGAAGACATCAGAATGGCTATATAGATTAATTAACTGAAATAATAACTTTTTTACAACAGAAATGAATCAACACTGAACTTACTTAAGCTGAATTATGACACTATTTTGTTCTAGATCTACAGAATTTAATTTGTTGTTGGCGTAGCCTATATTGTATTGTACAGCATTTGTTAAATTTTCTGACCATGAGAATTGCATTAATTGTATTTTATTTCACCTATGAGCACATAACGATCTTTTGATATCAGAGGAAAAAACTCATTTTATTTAAATTAATCATTTTTGTTTTTTCAGTCTGTCATATTGTTGTGTATGGTCTATGAAAAAAATTGTTGGTTGAGTATTAAACATTATTTTCAATTAAATCATATGTTCAAATGCTCAAGCTTTGGTTTCATTGTTTTTTGTTTTGTTTTTTAAGCTTTGTTCAATTTATATTGTTAATCTTTTGACTCAACAAAACAAATGGATAAAGTATCATTTTAACTTTTAAAAAACTATTAACATTTGTTAATAGGACAAAACATAATTCATATCTTTTATAGCCTACTATTTGATTTTTATATATATATATATATATATTCAATTAAATCGTTTTAAAAAGTCTTTATAATAACGTTGTTTTAAACTTTAAAACATTCCAAAACACGGAAGTAGCGTAATGCCTTGCCGCGCCCACTTCCGCCCTCAGACTGTCGGGCTGGCGCTGTCGTCCTCAGACTGTTATGACGTAATGGTTCTGCGGTTCTGCAGTCAGGCCTATTTCAATGTCAGTGACACATGCCACTAGCTGTGTCCCAATGTGAAGGCTGCATCCTCCGAAGGCCGTATTTGAAGGCCGCTTGGCCGTATTTGAAGGCTGATTCAAATTCACAGCGGCGCGACGAAGGACGTCCCAATTCAAAGGCTGCACCCTCCGAAGGTCGCATTTGAAGGCCGATTGCGTCATCGCAGGGCGATGAAGGCTGTCCCAATTCAAATCTGCGTCCTCCGAAGGCCGTATTCGAAGGCCGGTTGCGTCATTGCGGCGCGACGAAGGCTACCCTGATTCAAAAGCGACTGCAAATGCACCCTTCGTTTCCCCGTGAAAGAGAGGATACATAATTGGATCCTAAGCGGCCTATCCTATCGCATAAGTCATTGCGCTGGTGACGACAGCATTTTTTATTTTATTTTTAAAGGGCAGCGGAGAGTTCGATGGTGGACGGCAAATTAACATTTAAATGTAAAAATATTATGTTTTTATTTACTCAAATAGCTAGAGAAACCAGAGTTAAAAGCCACAAGTTTTTTTTTTCTTATTCATCTTAACTCATTCATCACCATTGCGTGGCTTCATTTGTCATGTGGAAACGCGAAAACAAAAAAATAAATTTCTGTATATTTCTTTATTATTCATCATTTTTTTATTATTTTATGCTTTAAATGTGTAAATAAAATAAAATAAAATTCATGGCTCTGGACATTGTTTATTTTTGTAATGGTATCTGAGTGTTTGCAAGGTTGATAGGCTACATTTAAACTATATACTTTTGTGTAGTTTAATGTAACAGTGCGTAGTGTTGCTGTCCTGTGAGGGAAAAAGTAGGCTACTTCACATTTGTACATGAATACTTTATTATTTTGAAAATTAAACTAACAAAATGTAGGTCTATTGTCACAATATTAACAAATTGTTACTAATTTACATGTCCGGTCCCCTCAGTTTTCTGATTGCTTAAAAAAAAAAAAAAAAAGACTTTAGGAGGCAAAATATTTTTTTAGTGATTATGTGAATTACACTGCACAAACCAAAGTAATAGGCTAGGCTACTACCCACCGGATGAATAAGGG